TCAAATCCAAGGCCAGTGCTCTCTATATATCATCAAGATCCAAATCCTAAATTCACACTCAGCTGGCATAACTGGGCTAGACTGACTGGAGTTCAGGAAGCTTTTTTTCAATTCCTATCAGCCACTGATTTGCTCTGTAACCTGGGGCAAGAGACTGAGTCTTGCTCTGCTGCAGTTCCCATGTGTAAACTGGGGATAATACCACTTTCCTACCTCAGAGTGTCGTGAGAATAAATACCTGAGTGACTGTAAGGTTTTCACATCCTACATTGATGGGGCATATATAAGGGTCGAGATAGAATAGAGAACTTTAGCCCTCTTGGCCGTAAGTGAGAATAACCTTGTCTCCTCCGATTTAATTAAGAATTTTGGTATCATGTATATTTTAAGGGACGGGCATCACTTTCAATGGGAGAGGGGATATCAGATGACCTGCCTGAGGGAATAAGGATTGTTTTTCCACTTGTGTTTAAATATTCTTGAAGCAATCCAGAAAAGTATAAATTACATCTGTAAATGAAGTAAAAAAATTTGACTCTGTTGAATAAATAATGGGTTCTGGACTGAGTATCTTCAATTTATAATAGAGGAAACTTCCTAGGAAGGTAGGTGTGAACTCTGTTGTGATATATTGATGATAAATATTGAATGACGATTACGTGTTGGCTTGATTTTTCTCATTTTTCCCCACTAAAAATCATTCTCTTCTATTTTTATAAGTCCTTTTCTTTTTAGTGTTCCCTTCAGGCTCTTTGCTTGCCTGCTTATCTCAGTGCTAGTTGTTCTCAAAATAAATCATGTGTTGTTTTCCCCTTTGCCTAATCATCTTAAACAACGTTCGATACCTAGCTCTTTAAACACATGAATGAATGATTAGTGTGTTCTAGAATGTTACATGAAAGCATTCTGAGACTGTTGTGTTCCTTTCTAAGAATTATTCTTTATTAATGATAGGAAAATTCTTCTCCACCCTCCCCATCTTGACTGATGTTTGGTGCCTCTTTAAAGACTGCAATAGCAAAGACACTGGACAGACAACTGTGTTCACTACACTATTAGGAGTTGAGCTCAGTGAGATCCCTGGCCTACAACTGAAATGGAAGCCCTCCGAAGACAGAGGTTTTTATGAATAACAGTCCTCAGTTCAGTAAAATATTTCATTTTGTTTTCTTCAAAGATTTTAAAAAAGACATTTGGTCAAAATCAGTCAGGAACTGATGTGACTGCTGATTTCTGCCTCCCACACAAGCCACCTTACTCTTTCTTTATGTCAGTTATGATTTAAAGAGCAGACAATGACTCACAAAGGGAGTGCTCAGAATGTATCTATTAGAAGTTACTCAGTGAGTACATAATCTAAATGACTATAAACAATTTCCGAGACACCATGTTAACAGCGGTTACTAAGTTTTAAAGTATGATTTGCAGAATGTGAATCTCCAGTATTTTTTTAAAGTATTTTTAAAGAAAAGATGATAATCTTTTTTGTTTATGGATACTACAGTGATATATACAAGTAGATAGATAGATGGAGATTCGATAATTGGTTGGCTGAAAAGTATACTGTAGCTTAAGCTATAAATGTTTCTAAAGACTTAGTTCTTCTTCACCTAAATGGAGTCACCCATCATGCAGTAGGCTTAAAAAAAAACACATGTAAACATAAGGTCAAAATTGAAATGAAACATTTCACAGTTATCTAAATGCAATGTTTGAGCGACCCAAACTTGTCTTTTCTTTCTTTTCTCACCTTCCTCTCCCATCACCATTCCTGCCCCTGTCTTTTTATTTGTGAAAATCTTTGAGATTTCAACTTTTTATCCTGATTTCAGACAGGAATATTTTTCAAAATCTTGACTTTGGGGAGGTGGGGGGGGGGGAGGAAAACCACTTTCCACCCAGATTATTTGTGATTGCAACACGATGATGCAGCAAATATGAGCACTAGTTCCTGATACACCATACAGTACCCACCCCACTTCACTTAATAAAATAGCAGGCGCTGGCTGGATAGGCAGAGAGAAGCATCCTTGGAGAACAGGGCAGTTCTGGTAGATAAGAACTGCTCTCCTTTTTCTCACTGAAGAAGAAAAGGCATTACAGAAGCCCCATGACAACTAAAAAGTATTGTCTGCATACTGCTCCACAATATACCGTGTACCAACATTGCTGGATTGATTTTATACAGTAAAGCAGAAACTTCTGGATTTTATGAGCCAGATTCTGATATTAGTTGCGCTGGTATGGTCGTCTTCTGAGTCTACTGAAATCAGTGGAGTTCCTTGGGATTTCACGGACAGACAGAATCTGGCCCATAAGGCGTGAGGTTTTCAGGGTTTACATACTTTCTATATGGATGCATTGCAGCATGTAGCTCTTTCTCAGCTATGGAGGACATAAATCCAAAAAATTATGAGACTGAAGGAGAAAAAAGGACAGTTAAGAAAAATGGCACTCACTCATGCAATAAACCAGCACACATTTAAGCAACTTTTTTTGGAAGGGGGAGACTTCACAAGAACGTATTTCTAACTGTATCTCCATCTGCTGTAAATTTCAAAGCTTTTATTTATTTAATTCAAACTGCCAACCCACCCAATTTCAAGGGAAAAGTTGTACAACTGTTTAGTTTTACACCTCATTTAAGCTAACCTGTGTCGTCACCCACATTGGGGGTTTGGCTGTGTAGTACCAGTCACATCCTTGAAAGGGGGGGCAGTTAGGAACTGCATTTCTTCTGGAAGGGTTTGATGAGAGATTGTAGAGAAGGGTACACACACATTACTTCATCTTCCTAGGATAATCCAGCCTGCTTTGCACTGTGCATGCCAGGCACCCTGTAGGCCAGTATAAGGAGGACAGGAAAGGAGTGGACCATGGCCCCGCCTCCTCTCTTTCCCCTCCCCCCAGCCTTTTGAGGAGCTATCTGACTCTCAGCTTCCCATGTTCCCCTGAGGCTACGGCATTGTCACTGGTTGTTGAGCAGGCTGCTTAGCAGCAGGGAAGACTCCCTTTCTTTTGGTCTTCAGCATACCCACTCAAGGGCCAGAGATAATATGGCCCCAGGTGGTGGGACTCAAGTATCCCACTCTTTGAGCTCATCTCTTATTTAATTATGGGGGGGGGGGAGAGAGGATTTTTCACCAAAGCAAAAAATCCCATTCCATACAGGCTTACAGTAACAATATTTTTCATTCGTGCCTCAAATTTTTGGAGATATTTGATTTTTTTTTCCATAGGGAAAAAAGGCAAAACATTATGGGAGTTAAGAATATTTATCAGCTGGAAGGGATAAAGATGCCACAAGCAGCAGCCAGTTGAAGAATGGTCATATTAGGATACAACTGTTTGGCTCTGCCAAATTTAAAGGGCCAGCTAAAGAAAGGGCATGCTGGGGGGAAAAGTTCTTGTAAGAGGGAAACCTTGCGCTAAGGAGGCTTAGCAGAGACCATGAAAATGCAAAGGACAGTGTTCCTGAGAAATGGTTGTTTCTGCCTGTTGCATATCACCACTTTAACACAGGGAAATTATAGCCTTCATCTTTTTCTTACAGTCTCCCTCCCATTCTTATCACTTTCTAGTTGTCCCTTTCTTTTTCTTGGGTAGCTTTCCCTGAAATGCTTCTGGCTTCATGCAGAGAACAGGTACAACTACAGGGTCTGAATCTATGGAGAAGAACATGGTATAGGAGGGAGGGATGCAAATTTATGAGGCACTGGGGAATCCTTTGAGGAAGATTCTTTACAGAAAGAGTGGACTCCATTTTAAACAAAGTGGAGCCAGATTGCTGGCACAGAAAATTGGGAAGATTTGTGGGATTATTTAAACTAGGTGGTAAGGGAAAGGCTGACGGGTCCTGAGAAACATTTAGGTCAGACAAAGACATCTGCTAGGGATGTCAGTAACACGAGAAACTATGCATCTAGCAGTAGAGGAAAGAATTACAACAGCACTGCAGGAAGCAGAAGTTGAAGTCATTGAGGTACAATCCAAAATGATAATGGTGCAGATAAGCATGTTATATTAAGAAAGTACACCCAGGAATAAAGTCTACAAATGTCTATGTGCTAATACAAGAAGATTAAAGGCAAAAATAGCTGAGCTTGAATTCCCAGCAATAGAAAGGACCTCACTAGAACAGATATTTCAAGAGTGAAGTAAGACAATCTAGTTCCCTATGCACACTGTGACATAAGGCCCCATGTGACTCTGCCCCTGTGGCCCCACCCCTCCACTATGATCCCACTCCCACATGCAATACACATTGGAAAGAAACATTTGTATGACTCATACACCTTCCAGGTTTCTAAATTAACTGTATCAACTCAGGAAAGGGCATAATTGTGCATGACGGAATGAAGACGTCTGCTCAGTGTGCAGCTGCAGTCTGGAAAGCAAACAAGAAGTTACAATGTATAAGGGACAGGATGGAAAACAACATGATAAATATTATAATACCATTATATAAATCAATAATACTGTCTCATCTGGAATATTATGTGCTCCAACCCCCCGAAAGTATATTGTGGCAATAAAATGGGTTCAGGTAAAGGTAATAAAATGATTAAGGGCATAGAAAAGTTCTTGTAGGAAGAAAGGAGAAATATAAGGAGGGACATGATAAAAGTTTATAATATATTGAATGGGATAGCAACGGTAGCTTGGAACCATCTGTTCTCTGTGTCTCACAATACAAAAAAAAAATGGGCAGTCAATTAAATTAAAAGGTGGCAAAATCAAAACTGCTAGGAAATCATTTTTCCAGGCAATGTATAATTAGAGTGTTGAACTCATTACTACAAAATGTCACTGAGGCCAAACATTTGGCAAGATTCAAGGGAATGGACATTTATATAAATAACAAGAATGTCTAGTGCTGCTATAATTAATGCCAATAAACTATGGAAGGGATATTAAACCTCATGTTTCAGGGTTTAAACCAATCTCTACCAGTTAGAAATTAGGCGGAGACAATGTTGGGGGCAGATAAAACAAGTATGTTTCAGTCTAGATGATTTATTTCAGATTAAGAAAAACAACAAATTACAGAGTTTCCATGTGAGAGTGAGAGAGTGACTACAGTGAGTGTCCCTGTATCTGTACTGAAATACAAAATGGCAGCTTTCCCCCATCAGCAGGGAGGTGATCTCCCTACATACACACACAACACACACACAGAGAATGACAGCATCTCCTTCCAGTTACGTAGCTTTATAAAGAACAAATTGGTTTGGGAAGGAAACAATTCAGAACTGACATGATAGAGGTATATATTGTTTACCCTCTCTCATAAGGCAAGAAAAAAAGGCCATCCAATGAAAGAAAAAGGTAATACAGTTACAACTGAGAAGAGAAAATATATATTTTATGTCATGCATGATCAAACTGTGGGACTCACTGTTAGAGTTTACTGGGGCCAAGAAGTGACATTCAAATAAATTAGACACCAACAGGAATAATAAAACTATCTGCAATTATATTAGCTTGCTAAAGTAAACACTCATGCTTCAGGACATAAGCCAACCACTAGCCTTTAATGCATGCAGCTAGGAAGAACATTTCCCCCATAGGCATGTTAATGTATAATTTTTAATCATATGGATTTTACACCTTCCGCTGAAGCATTTGATTTTGGCCCCTGTCAAGAGACAGGATACTGGATCAGATGGCCTTTTGGTTTGAGTGGTTCTATGCTCCTTTTGTTTCAAGGTCTCCCTTCCTGCTCTACAGGGGTGGTCCCCTCCATATTGTGAACAAATCTCTGCCAAGTTATTACATAGTTATTTATTTTTCAAATGGCTTTGTAGAGCAGATGTTCCCATGTGAGCATTAGCTCTTCTTTTACTTACATTTGCTGTGCAAATTGAACACTGAACCTAACCCAGATCCCATGGAAGTCAATGGCAAAACTCCCACTGAGTTCATCAAGATCAGGATTTGGCTCACTGACTTACATTCTGCTGCCCCAGAATGAAACTAGCAAGCAGTAGACATCAGGGGTGCTGGAACAATTTATATAGTGGGGGTGCTGAGAGCCATTGAACCAAACTGTAAACCCTGGATATGAGGGAAACCACTTCAAGTCAGGGGGTGAGGCAGCACCACCATCATCCCTAGTTCCAGCACCTATGGTGGACACAGATGTTAACATTACTTATGCTACTTTTCAGGCTGTTTAACATGAGAGTTCACAGGTCTGACTCTTGCTTTTGTCTTCCTCCTGGATGAAAACCCTTGTAGCTATTTTAACCTGGTGGTGCTGGACAAACCTTTAAAGATTCAGCAGCTCAGTTCAGATAAACGCTCTAAAATTCAGAGGCCTAGCTGAAGCTTATCTAAAATAGCTAAACTGCTACAAAATTGGACTGGAAATCTAGTCACAACTTGCTTTCATGGGATTTTCAGTAGTGATTGGTTTGGTTGGTCCAGAAATAATAATACATGGCACTTACATAGCACTTTTCACCCACAGGTCTCAAAGCACTTTACAACGGAGGGCAAATTTGATCATTCCTGTTCTATATACGGGGCAACTGAGGCCGAGGGACTGTAAGTGATGTGTGACATTGGACAAAACAAATCAGTGGCAGAACCAGAACTCAGGTCTACTCACTGGCCCACTGCTCCGCCCACTGAAGAAACAGTCTGCCTTTGCGTCTCTTTCAACACTTCTCTTTCCATTTCCATCTTGAAGAAAGAAGTTCAGAGGCTGCAAAAATTAAATTGCTTTTTTTTTTTTCAAACGTTAACCAAATGTTTCTGAACTTCAAGATCCTCAGTTCTAATTTAGCTAGACGTATGAAGAAAGGTCAGAGTATGTTATTGTTTTATATGAACGCATTAACTGGGAGCAGTACCTTCTATTCAGGCATTTTCATCCCTATTTTCTTCAGAGACCCTGTATTTTTGCCATGCTGTTATTAGACTTTTCCTTTCTCCGAGGCTATGTGCCACAGTATACCAAAAGAAGCCTTTGCCTCTGCAGCCCAAATGGCAGTCAAAGCTAGAGATAGATAACTCTCCACAAGCCTGGAGATCGGAATCAGTTCAGATATGCTTTCAAAAGATTTGGGGGGTTTAATCAAAAGATTCTATGGCTTTCTTGTGTGACGTTTCTCGTACTTCAGATCCTATCTAGAAGTGTCACCCAAAAAACCTTTTGTTTCCTATCCCCATTGGAACACCAAATTGGAAAGGCACATGAAAATTAAAGTTGGGGGTGTGCAAGCCTATTCAGAAATTTAAAGAAAGGTTTGGTTCAGGTTCATTTCGCAAAGTGTGCGAAGTTTTGGCATGATGGGTGTTCTTGTTTTCTCTAAAACAATTCACCTGCCCCCATCTCCAAATGATTGCAGCTCATCATCTGGCAAAGCATTGTTGTGTTGTTTTGAGAATTTTTTCTCATTTTTTGTGCTCATTCCTGAAACCGTTGTGTGGGTAATCTTTATTCACACTAATATATCCCACTGACTTCAATAGTGTGTGTGGGAGTAAGGATTATAGGATCAGCCTATACATCTGTTCAATTACGCTGGCCAAGATCCAGTGCAGAAACCTGTGCATTTGTCTGGCAATGACAAGAAGCAGGAGTGAATTTCTCAATTATAGTGTCAGAAATAAAACAACTTTGGGTGGTTCACCAAGAGATTAAATGGCTCAAGTGGAATTATGGCTCCTGTCAATGAGCCCAGGAAGCCTGCTGTTACATCCTTAAAATATACTCAATGATTTGTAACTAACCAGCAGATCTGTTTGACTATGAAATGATTTTTAACCAAGCAACAGGTTTGTTTAGATACCAGAGAGTTTCAGGGCATGGTAGCACTTTCTTTCTTTCTTTTTTAAGAAACATTTTTAACTATAAAAAAGGTAAAGAGATTTTTTTTATAAAACCTTTTTACAGTTTATTTCCTATCATTAATTGTTAAAATATAAAAAATGATCTAACTAAATGAAGCAGGATGTTAAATGGTGAATTTTGACTGTGTAAACAAATAAATAATTATTTACAATCTTTGGCAAAACAAAGTGAAGTTTCATTGATCTCATTCTCTCCCTCCTTTTCTCTCTCACAGGCACACACACACTTGCAAAGAAAAAAGGAAAAGAAAAAAGAAAATCTTCATAAATAATTTACATAGAATAGGAAAATTATGGTACAATCTAAATATTAACATCTTCATCCCCACACTGATGTCTTGCTTTCACAAAACCAAACCAAAAAACCCTACACGTCCATCACAATCATTACATTTAATGAAGTCTCCCCACTTTCTCACTGGGACTTGGGGATACAATTTGAAACAACAAAATATGAATTGCAACAAATTCAAAAAAACCTCATAAGGAGGATTTTTTAAAGGGTTTGTTCATATGAAGAGACTGTAAAATGTGCAACTGAATTCTTTCTAATGAATATAGCAGTAAAATCTATTTAAAAGGAAAAAAAGAGCTGAGTCAACATTTGGCTCACCATGCCCTATGATAAGGCAAGAGATACTGTATTATTCCCTTAGTAAACCTCATCTGTGATTAAAATTACACCAGCATGAGTTTTTTTTTGTGAACAAAGCTCATACATCTTAAACAAAACAAAAAAGTGTTAAATACTTGCATACTATTGTATAACTGAATAACTGTTGTATCTGGTTAGAATAAACACTGGTATCCCTTCAGCATTATTTAAAAAATAAAACAGTTCTATATACAGCAGACATAGGTAACAATACAAAATACTAAAATTAGGATAACAGTATATATATTAAGGTTCCATTTATAAATTCCTCATTATTATTTATTTAATCATGTGCTACTTTAGAGAATGCTGGATTGTCATGACATAAAACCGCATGTTTAAACAAGTGTGTACATTGCTACAATGATAGCTTCATGGTGTGATACGCTTTAACAGATTGTTCTAGCATTATTTGTTAATGCATTACTAATGCACTGTATGACATGCTTTAAAAATAAATTATCAGAGAAGGTAGCAGTATGTGTAATCATGAGAAATATTAACAAAATATTTATAACTGGAACCTTAATTTCTGAATTACCAAATAAGGTAATGGTAGCGTGGCTACCTTTTCATAACTCTAGATCAGGATTCAGTATGTCAAAGTGCTTTTTGCAGCAGAGATGGGAAAGTGATGCAGGTTCAACTTGTTCCAGATGGTCGTGAAATATGTTTATGAAGAGGAATTGCAAAATAAGATGTACACTGGCCAACTGGAAACCATTTTATAAAAGCCACAGTGGATGGCCTTAAGTGCTTAACTGAATTGTTATGCTTTCTTATATTGATGTTTAAGTTCTGGTTCAATTGTATTTGTCCTGATTTAAGTCCATACAAATAACATGCATTGTTATTTCTAGTGAGACATTATTAGTAACTAAAAATCTGAAGTTTCAGCAACTTCTAATCTTAAAAGGTATTTTTGAAAGAGTTAGTAAAAGCATCTTTATCAGCTGAAAGATCTTTTTGCATCAAGCAATCTTCATATTATGTGGCCTTCACTTTAGTCTCCAATGGCTTCTTCATTATTAGGCTAGATATTGTTGGTGTTGTCCCTTTGTTATTTTACCGAAATTAGGCTCAGAGGTTTTGTGTTACTGAGGTCCAGCCCTGATCGGAGCAAGGGAAGTGTCAACCCTAGGCATAAAAAAGTGTTTTTTACACTTTTTTTTCCCCACTTGTTTAAGACAATGGATGATACTCATCCCCTTTTTCTCCATATATATATAAATACATTAAGTAATTACACTTTATATGTAAACGTCATTCCTTTGTAAAAAAACAAACAAGTCTTGCTAAGTTTTCACTCTACAAAAATGTTCTAATGTATCAATCTGCTTTTGCTTCAGTGGTGGGTTGGACGCTCACATTTAGGTCCCATTAGTCCTCGTTTTCAGAAGGCACTTGAGCGTAGGATTGGCTGAGCACTCTTGGCAGCAGGGAGGTACAAAGTCAGTTGAACAGAAGGCTGGAGGAGGAGGAGGTACACAGAAAGAGATGTTGGGAGTACCAGGATGTACTGAGGTGTCTAGGTTGCACAGCATCTACAGTACTTTGCTGGTAATGCAGCAACCATAGCTCAGAAATCTAAAGCAAAAGAGAAACCAATATTAATTGGTGCAGAGGCATATTTGGTTCGGAATCCAGTAAAAATGGAACAAGAGCTTAAATGTGCTACAGTAAAGGGAAGCAGCCTGAGTAATACAAAGATAACTTTTCCTGTTCTGAGTTCATTTTCTTATAAATGTGAAAATATAGTACTATTTAAAACATTGTGGATGGTTTCATTATATTTAAAAAAAAATTGGAGAATGCATGAATCACCATATTTGAAGGTTTTTAAGAATAGGTTAGGCAAACACCTGTGAGGAATGGTCTCGTTCTTACTTAGTCCTGCCTTGAGTCCAGGGGCAAGATGACCTATTGAGGTCCCCTCCAGTCCTACACTTCCATAAAATGATAATTGAAAATATCCGCTGAATCCTTAATGCCTCCTTAAAGAAGGGCTATCCATAAATCTGCAAGTGCATGAGTAACCCACTGCTGAATACGTTACAAGTCCTGCTCTGATCAACAGAGGATATGAGTTGTTACTTCTCCCAGCTAGGTAACATTGGCTCTTTATTGGCTCTTTAGCTCAAGCTGTAGCAGTTCATACTTTTAGCTCTAGAAATTCCCTGCTTCAGTCCTTGTGTGTCAGACATGAAGGTAACCATCACACATGCAACACGCACTAATGCGCTGGGTATGCACACACAGTTCCAAACAAATATCTCCCTCAGATAATTCCATCTTCTTTTTCCAGGCTGATTGTATTAAGCATGTGTTTGTGGTTATTCAGATTTACATTAAGACTAGTGGGATCCAAGCTATTTTAATGAATCAGTATCTAAATTATGCTGTGGTCCCTTCCGGCTTTGGAACGTGTCTTCTGGCTGAAACTTATCAGGACTATTGCTATATGTTATACAGTCATGCCCTGATTCGGGAAAGCAGTTAAGCACATGGCTTAAGTCTATGTTTCAGGACAGCATGTTGATCAACTCAAAATAAACTCCCTCTTGTTTCATTCATAGTTAAGAATTGATTGAGTTATTTCAGAATGATTGACGGATTAAGGATTCCATTCAACAACTGGAAGATACTTTCTATTTCCATCATTTCTCCCTAGTGCAGTGGTTTTCAAACTTTTTTTCTGGAGACCCAGTTGAAGAACATTGTTGATGCCAGAGACGCAATGGAGCTGGGGATGAAGGGTTTGCGGTGTAGGGTGTGGGAGGGGCTCAGAGCTGGGGTGGAGGGTAGGGGTGTGGGGGTGAGGGCTACGGGGTGGGGCTGGGAATGAGGGGTTCAGGGTGTGGGAGGGGGCTCTGTGCTGCAGCAGGGGGTTGGGGTGCAGGAAGAGGTCAGGGCTCTGGGCTGGGGGTGCAGGGTCTGGGATGGGGCCAGGGATGAGGGGTTTGGGGTACAGTAGGGGCTCTGGGTTTGCGGGGGGCTCAGGGCTGGAGAAGGGGATTGGGACACGGGCTTACCTTGGGCGGCTCCCAGTCAGCAGCACAACGGGGGTGCAGAGGCAGGCTTCCTGCCTGTCCTGGCATTGAGGACCACGCTGCACCCCGGAAGCAGCCAGCAGCAGGTCTGGCTCCTAGGTGGAGGCGCGCAAGCGGCTCGGTGCGGCTCTCGCCTGCAGGCACTGCCCCCCTCAGCTCCCTTTGGCCGTTTGCGGGACAATGGGAACGTGGAGCCGGTGCTCGGGGTGGGGGCAGCGCATGGAGCCCAGTGGAACCCCCGTCTAGGAGCCGGACCTGCAGCTGGCCACTCCTGGGGTGCAGCGCAGTGTCAGAAAAGGTAGGGACTAGCCTGCCTCAGCCAGGCAGCACTACCGGTGGGACTTCTAACGGCCTAGTCAGCAGTGCTGACCAGAGCCACCACAACCCAGAGCCTTACATGCTCTGGCCCAGTTCTGGGTCGCGACCCACGGTTTGAAAACCACTGCCCTAGTGCATACATTTTATGTGCACTGGCCTCTTTCAAATAGTTCTGTTTATCTGGGAGACTGAAGTAACTGAGGCATAAGTAAAACTTTCATAATTGCCTAGTTCACTGAAAAACTAACCTCTGCATTCATATTTGAGGTCAGAGAAGTAGACCATTTCTTGAGAGAAGACAAAAAGACCTAATCGTCCACCAGCATAGGTCTTATCATAGATTGGTCCAGAGTCTACCATGACCTGTTTTCCTTCATATACTAAAACTCTGGAAAGAAAGACATATTTTGGGTTAGTATCATGAATCAACAGAACATTCCAAGATTGGACATGTAATAACAGCTGTCAGATGATGATATGATGTTGAATTCTAATGCTAGATGCCATGTAGTACAACTTCATTACATGGGTCATTCCTCTGTTGTACCTCCCCCGAGCCTGGCTGGTAGTCATAGCCCATTTATTGGAAGCCCTGGTGCTGTTCCATGAGTAATTTTATGAACATCATCTGCAAAGAATTTCCCAAATCCTTGTGTTATTACAGCTATGTCTTCTGGACTGTAAAGAAGGAGTGTTACGTTCTTAATGTTGATTAGCCACAAGCCTCTTTATGCTCAGAGGTTAGCTTGAGAAATATACACATAATTTAATTGACTCACAGTAAGTCTGTTACCTCCTCACAAATAAATATACTTTAATGACTATTCAAAAACCTAGCTAATTTTTCTTTTTTCTATTAGAATTCCCAGTAGGATGAAGGAGCTTCATGGACAAGGACCGTAGAACCTGCCACATTAGATTAGGGCAATGGGCCCACTAGAGCAGTATCCTGTCTGATAGTGGCCAGTACCAGCTGCTTCAGAGGAAAGTGCAAGAAACACCATAGTGAGTGCGCAACTGTGATATAACCTGCCCATAACAGGAGGATCTTTCTATACGTTATTTAGTAAGAATTCAAGATATTTTTATTTAATAATATTTAGTTTATGTAAATACTGAACAGTCCTAATGAAATTGAACACATATGATGTGTGTGTGAGGAGAGAGAGAAGTTATTTAAAATCTAATAAAATGTTCCACAAATAGAGAGACACTCTGCCATGAATGAATCATCAGCACTGGAATTAACAAACAAACCATTAAAAGCCACTACTTCATTCGAGGCGAAAGCTATATTACTAGGAAATTTGTAGGCACTCAAACACTTCTTACTTTATTAATCCTGTTTTAGGCCTGTGAATCAACTGCCACCTGTAGGCAGTATAATCTTTCCAGCCAACATTCTTGGGGTCATGCCACAAGGTACGTACCTACGATAGGAATACAAATGCTTCGTTAGAAACAGTTTGTACTAAAGCAACTGGATATCTGATCACAGCTTATTTTCTTTGTATCATCAAACTAAAAATCACTTTAAAATTTAGTGACACTGAACTACATTCCCCCCACACTCTGATCACCTATATTAAGTCACATGAAAATTGCCATCTTCAGTTATACATCAGTTACCCTCAAACAAGTAGATTAATTCATAGATTCATAGAGTTTAAGGCCAGAAGGGACAATTAGATCTTCTAGTTTGACCTCCTGTATATCCCAGGCCATAAAATTTCAACCAGTTACCTCTGTATTGAGCCCAATAACTTGTGTTAAAGAATATCCTCTGCTAAAGAATATCTTTCCAGAAAAATATGAAGATATTAGAGATGGAGAATCCACCACTTCCCTTGCTAGTTTGTTCCACCCTCAATGTAAAAAAATTATACCTAATTTCTAATTTGAATTTGTCTGGCTTCAACTTCAAGCCATTGGTTCTTGTTAGGCCTCTCTCTGCTAGATTAAAGAATCGTTTAGTGCATAGAATTCCCCCCTCCCCACACACACACACACACCTTCCCCAGGAAGGTATTAGACACTGTAATCAAGTCACCTCTTAGTCTTCTCTTGGATAAATTAAACAGATTGAGCTTTTTAAGTCTCTCCCTGCAAGGCATTTTATTTATTACTCAAAGCATTTTTTGGCTCTTTACTTCACCCTCTCTAATTTTTTAGTATCCTTTTTAAAATATGGGCACTAGAACTGGATGCAGCATTCCAGAACGGGTCTCACCAATGCTGCATATGGATGTAACCTCCCTCCTCCTACTCGGTATTCCCCTGTTTATACATCCAAGGAGCACATGAGCTCTTTTTGTCACAGCATCACACTAAGAGCTCACGTTCAGTTGCTTGTCCACTCTGAGCCCTACATCTTTTTCAGAATCACTGCTTCCCAGGATACAGTTGCCATTCTGTAGGTATGGCCAAGATTTTGTTTGTAATGTGCCCAGCTTATCCAGTGATCTAGATCACGCTATATGACTGGCATATCTTCATCATTATTTACCTCTCTGGCAAGCTTTGTGTCATCCAAAAATTTTATCAGCAGTAATTTTATATTTATTTCCAGACCACTTGATGAAAATGTTGATAATTGATGAAAAAGTGCAAGGAAGGTAAAGGTGAGTGGAGACCTGGGAATATATTTTATCTTTGAGTTCTGTACATGTTCAGACACACACACACTCTCACACAACATTCACCCTACAGAACTGATCCTGCTACACTTACCTATGTGAGTAGCTACATTGAAAGAAATGGGACTAATCAGCTGAGTACGGGCTACTGCAAGACTGGCCCAATATTTATTGTACATTGTTTCAGATCTCTGGCACAATAAAACTCTCCAGGAAGGCCCAGACCCTGGAATGAACTGTATGCAGTTGGATCCCTGTGCTTGTGTAGTGCCCCACTGACTTCAATGGACTTCCTTAGGGTCACAAGGGCCACCGTGTGAAGTTATTGCAAGATCCGGATCTACATGGGAGTTTGCGGCAAACTTTCTGAACACAGCCACGTTCAGAAATATAAACATCAGATATATGTGATGCCCCAAAGGTGGGTGTTTAAACACCCATCTGAAGAGAATAAAGCCCATGAAGGGCTTTTAGAAGTAGTGTAACAACAATACTATCTCCAACCTGGAAGAATGACCTGTACTCCTTGTCCTTTGATTTTGCAGGTTCTTTTTAACTACTTTGCATATTCTCTTTTATCTATGTATATTTTGCATTACTGTGAAAACAGTACAAATAAATCAGAACAAAACCACCTAAAAAGACTGGCAATTTTATCCAAAAATTAAAATAACATTGAAAAGTAATTTACCATTTTCCCTACTCTTATTGGCATACTGAGCCTCAATGCCCTTTTTTAATTGGTAACCATTTTTTGTGTCAGCCCCCTTTTTACAATATTGGTCACTCCTCAATGGTATGAAGACTTGATTCTCTTACCTGTCCAGGTGTGTTTCCAGTGTGCCAGAGAGCATTTCTCAAGTGCTCACCAGTGCCAGTCGTAGAGTTCACTACTTTGAGTGATACCCCTGAATAACCATAAGCCCTGGTGGGCTTGTCCTCCCAGTAGGTCTGTGTGACTTGCTTCCACATCAGGACATAAAATCGACTGCTGGACTGATAACCAAACACAAACCCGGCATAATCGTCATCACGGTCTGTGTTAACGTAGAATGTGCCACTGAAGTCAACAGAGGTGAACTCATCAAAACCTGGTAGGGGATTAAATGTGCAAGATATTCAGTTCCTCCATGTGTTGCAAATTCAGAATGCTTGAAAGCAGACTGTTATACCATTTCTGTTGCTTTGGGCTTTCTAGTTTGTTTGGTGTGGGAGTCTTTTTGTGGGGGGGGAGGGTTGAGAGAGAGAGAGAGAGAGAGAGAGAGAGAGAGAATGAACTCATATGTACTGTTTATATAGTACTTATATATCTGTTCTGTCTCATTCCTTAAACCGGGATGAGGATAAGATGATATCATCCTCTCTTTGTACCTTTGTTTCTGAGTACTCTTTGCATTTCTCTGTCCCTTTCCCTTTTGTAATACCACTGTTACAGAAACAACATGACTTAATAGCTCTTTTAAACAAAAAACTAAGATTTATAGTGTCTTACATTAGGATCCCTTACTGTACCAATTGGGAGCAAGGAGGAAGCATTTGGCAGGAAGAAAAACTAATGTGCTGTATGTTTGCAAGCCTGCCTCAGTCCTGATTTATTCAGATCAGTGAAACAGCTATGTTCCCTCTTACCTATCAGAATTAACTCTATAAAAATGCATGTGGGGGTTATTGTAGGTAGGTCTAACATATAGCAGCTGACATTCCAAAATGAAATGGAATCAAGTAGCTCAACAGGCTTTTCTCTCATACGCAACCTCAATACAGAATGCTTTTTCTTCATCAGCTGAGCAGAGAGTTGTGCTAACAGCAACAGGAAAAAACTCTGACAGGTATATACACGCAGGTACTCTCAGACACTCAGGATATATACTCCCGTTTGAGTAAATGAACCAATCCATGCTATGTTGGGCTTCTATATGAAAAGAGAAACAAGACTATGCAGTTGTTTGATGTGCTACACCAAGTATAATAGAAGTGTGGTCTAGCAGCTTGAACACTCAGGTCACTATGAAAAATTCAAAGTCCTAATCCCAGCTCCGACAGTGACTCTGTATTTTAAACCCTCTGTCTCATTTTCCCTATCGGTAAAATGGGAATAATTATACTTACCTACCTAATGGAGTGTTGAAGAGAGTGCTGTAGCTAAAGTAAAGTGCTTTGAAGATAAACAGCACTATATCTATCCTAAGGTCTGGGGCTGTGTATTATTCTGTATGTGTTTCAGCCAGCACTGTTCCAAAGAATCCAGATAATTCTTTTCTATTTTGATACTCACCTACTGCTATGCCAGGATCAGAGTTGGCAGTCTGCACCAGTTCTTTACCCTGGTGGCGAATAACCCAGTTGGGGTCAATTTGAGCTGTTCCCTTTGGATCCAGGGGGACCATCTGGAATTTTCTGAAGTCAGTTTCACTGATGTCAATATTTTCGGGGCACACGTCATAAATATCTGGGACACTGTCATTGTCAAAATCGTCTTTGCAGATATCACCTCTGCCATCACCTACAAGCAGAACACATACACAGGCAAAAATTGTTAGCATTGTGTACCTCTCTCCTTCTCTATTTATATAAGTCAACAGCTGTTCACATAGGAATTACTACACTGGAAGAGACCAGTAGCCTATGTAGTGTGCCATCCTGCCACCAACAAGGACTTGTTGCAGACGTAAAATGCAGATGCAGATGTAAAATGTCTTTAGTGCACTTGATCACCATTGTATTCTTCAAGCACAGGCTTTCCGACGGAAAGAAGGAGAATGAACCTCAGGAAACAAATCAAAAGACTTTCTGCAGTTCAGCTTGGTGGGAAAATGGTTCCACATTCCACTGTCTGACAGCCAAGAAGAACTCCAAATTCTGACCAGCTGTGCACTCCTGCACTTGTTTATCTTAACATTTAAGATAAAAAACTATGCATTTCCAACTTTATTCCCTTTGCCAATATCAAAGAAGCAATTCTTGAATCTATATGAGGATTTTAATTATTCAGTGCATATGTTGCTGAAGTTCCCAGTGGTCCTGACTGCTGACAGAGTTGATTTTGTTTCAAACGATATTGAAAGCATTTGTCCAACAAGCCATGTCGTCCACAAACTCTATCCACATCTGCAACTTAAAATTGTGTGGCTCACATGAACATCTTTTGGTTTTAGTTATAGTCTGGCTTTTGCCAAAGTTGAACAAGATTTATTCTGCCGTTGATGATGATGATGATGAGCAAGTCAACCTGTACTATTGATTCTGTGGGATAGTCTTCACAGAAGTGCATTCACACACACACTGGCCTAGACCTCCATAGCCCGGCTGAGCTGTGCTTGGCACAAGACCAGGAGGAGCAAAAGCTGGCTTTAATGGAACTATACTACCCAAATCCCCAGATCACCCTTGGACTACAGAGGTCCTGATAGAAGTTAGAGCAGCCCAAGGGCTATAGGGCCACTACAGAGATTGGCAGGGCACAGAGTTGTGTAAGTCATTCCCTCTTTATCCTAGCCATGGCCCTTTACACCAGGATACTGGGAGGAGAGGAGGTGTGGGAACTGCTATCACTGTTCTATATCACCCAAGGACTTCCCAGTGCAGATAGAATCCTCAGGGGGCTATAACTACCAGCTATACAGCGCAAAGTAACCAGAGCAGCAATCGAGAACTGGTCCACTGTAAATGTATCCTCACTATGAACATATGAACTAAATTTTGCTTTCAGTTACACCAGCATCAATGTGGAAGAACTCCAGCAATTTCATATACACTCGTGTAACTAGGAAATATCTCATATGTATTTATTTTGTGGGTCATTACTCATAGATATATCAAAAGTATATCTCAGTTTTTATCTTAAAGGATCACAAATTGTATTATATAACATATAAAACATATATACATATTATATATATGTATATATATATATATATATATATATATATATAGGTAGCACGTCATTAACCACTGAACTGCAACCATTTACATGGTAGACCATTACACCTATTTAACAGTGACCTAGACTACAGCACAACAATTCAGGAAAAGAAATGAAGAAAAATACTGCATCCATTTATGCAAGTGTATGGTGCACATGATCAACACATACCTAAAGTGCTTCCTCTGTGAAACAATTTTTAGTAGAGTTGGTTGAAAAATGGCAAATATTTTCCATACATATTTACAAATAAATGAATATTTTTCATTTGTTTAAAATGTTATGGAATATTTTGATTCTTTCAATAAAAAACTGAAGCTGAATACCAAAATTTTTCAGTTGTGTTGGTTTTCAAAACCCAAAACAGTTTTTTAAATTAAAAAAAAATCTAGTTTAATATTGCATCAAAAATTAACATTTGAAAAGGAAAAAACATTTTCCCAGAAAATGTTTTTTTAATCAAAACTATATTATATGTTTGACAAGTTCTAGTTTGATGCCTTAATACAGTGCTCCAAGTTCAGACATGGCATAAGCAGGAGCAAATTCACTGAGGTCAGTGATATCAGGCCTGTTACCTCAAGTTCAATTTGGTCTGAAATGTCTTATTTCTTTTATCCATGGGAAAAAATATCCTCGGCATTAGTCTATGCATGCACCAGTTCTTCATGTACTTAGAACTGAATCAAACCCACCCTACTTGGTTCTTACCATCAGAGTCCTTTTGGTCAGGGTTGAACATGAGCCGACAATTGTCCCTGTCATCAGGAACACCATCATTGTCATCATCGGAATCACATGCATCCCCTTTGCCATCCTTATCATGGTCAGCCTGGTTAGAATTGGGGATGTAGGGGCAGTTATCTTGGTTGTTCTGGTGACCATCTTCATCTATGTCCTCATTGTTGTCACACTGGTCACCAACCAGGTCATTATCTATGTCAGTCTACAGAAAAAAACAGGCAACAACATTAGCATCTTGATTGTTACAAAGCACAAAATTGAGATGACATGTTTCCTTATTCTCTACATTTCTCTTCCAGTAACTTCCTGAAGAGTTCCTATATGGTGGTGACAAATTTCTATGAAGTAGAAATGTAATAAAATTTCAATTTTTTTCACTCTAATATGAGGAATGTTAATGAAGACCTTACTGAAACTCGGGCAAACATTTTCCGACATGTCTCCTAGTTTACGTTTGTTGGTTGGAACCTACTGGTCCTAACTCACAGGTCTGATACATCCCCTTTACACTGCTGAACCTTGGTCAGATCTAGCCCACAGGAAATAACCCTGATGTAAAGGAGTTCTCTGTGCATCATAGGGTATGTCTACACTGCAAATAAAAACCCACAACTAGCCCATGCCAGCTGACTCAGGCTTGCGGGGTTTGGGCTAAGGGGCTGTTCAACTGCGATGTAGATGTTTGGGCTCAGGCTGAAGTCCGGGTTCGAGAATCCTCACAGGGCATGGGCCAGCTGAGGAGTTTTAAATGCAGCGTAGACATACCCATAGAGTCATAAAGGTCATGCCAGGGATGTGGCCAAGGTAGGAGGTTTGCCTGGAGTGCCACTGCATTCTGGCAATTTTTGTTGCCACGTAGAGCCCTTGGAGCCATGGAAAGCCAAGTGAAGTTCAAAGCAGACCTAAGGCTGCTCTAACTTGCAGTGGGAGCCAAATTATTCTCCAAATGGCACAGGGAGTGAAAAGGTGGGGTTAAAGACATCTTTGCCCCAATCCCTCAAGCTCTGCACGGAGTGGCACTTAGCCAGACCTGAAAATCAGGGCTGTTGTTTTTCACATATAAGGAAGTTTAATGCCTACATTGAAGAGGAGAGGTTTTTTTATATGTATAAAATGTTAAAGGTCCAAAAGAAGGATGGACAATTCAGATCTAACTTTTCAGTCTTAAAGCCAGCTGTTTGGGTTTTGACTGCAACTGTTATAACAATTTAGAAATCTGGGATGGACACTAGAGTATTCATTAGATACATTGCAGGACAAAAATCTGATGTAATTATTTAATAAAACATAGTGCAATGTGATAAAATTCTTCCCTGGAACATAATTAACATTGCAAGCAAAAAATAGATGCATATATGATATCATGCATTTCAGCTGGCCCAACAGTCCCTCATGAGAGTGTGTTACCTCATATTATTGAAGTCTGTGCAAGCTGTGTAGCTCTCATATGAACTGTCTTGCCCAGACAAGGTTCTTAAGGTATGAGTGGCTGCTATTGGGCTCAATGAAGTTTAGTTATTATAAGCCCTGAGGTGAAGCTAAGTGCAATAACTTTGCATACTTATAAATTCCAAAGCATTCACCTGAACCAAGGCAATATTCATTGTTAGATCATTGAAAACCTGCAAAACTGTTTTTCATAATTTTTGCTTTCAGTTCATACCAGAACCTGCAATTTACCACGAATACCATAAAAGAGCTGTTCGTATATTATGTTGCCAATTAGGGCAGTTTTCTTTTCATGTAAAGTGGGTGGATTGCAGGTAGAAGAGAATTATCACTAAACAGAGTGCATCATTGCCATAATGGGCCTTTATGTTTTATGTGAAAATGAAAAATGAGCAAAATACAGCCTTTTCTTTTCCACGCATTGTTATGTTTCTTCTGTGAAGGAAGGGGCATGATTCTCCTACCACAGGTCTGAGTTACTGTCACTGAAATCAATCGCAGTTACTCACGTCCTGTGATAGGAGAAAAGGGCCCCTCCAGTTCAGAAGTGAATTTAGGCTGCATTTTGCACTGGCGGCTTGTGGGATATCAGACTTTTAAAATCACATCATTCAAATTATGCATCCGATGAAGTGAGCTGTAGCTCACGAAAGCTCATGCTCAAATAAATTGGTTAGTCTCTAAGGTGCCACAAGTACTCCTTTTCTTTTTTCAAATTATTCTGTATCCTGTGATAATAAAAGAGCTTCCTGGCCTTTTACCCAACGAGTCTGTACTGTATCTCCCACACCCACACAGAGCAAGCAGCTAGCTAAAGATCATAAAAGGAAGGCAAGATGGTCTAATGGGCAGGGCACTGGACTGAGAGTCAGGAGACCTGGACTCCATTTCTGGTTCTGTTGCTGATCTGAGACCTTGGGTAAGTTAATTAGCCTCTCTGTCACTCTTTCCCCTCCCACCTCTTGTCTATTTAAGCAATACGTTCTCTGAGGCAGGGACTGTCCTTTACTATGTGTCTGTACAGTGCCTAGCTCAATGGGGCCCTGATTTTGGTGAGGTCTCTATGCTTGACTCTAATGCAAATCATCATCATCATCATTTAGTTTAGTTCCTTAAACATTTTCTCTCTCTCATTCTCTCCTATTCTGAGGTCAGCATTAATACATGCAGTTAAAAGGTTGCTTTCAGAGTTCCCACTTCAAGAGCAAATCCTCCCACCCATCGCTCCTCACACAAATGGGCTTAGTGTTTACCTGATCAGGATTGTGCACCAATGGACAGTTATCACAATGATCGCCTACTCCATCCCCATCTGTATCTCTCTGGTCAGTGTTGTAAACGTATGGACAGTTATCTCGTTCATTAAAAATGTCTGTGAGGGTAAAAAAATAATGTGACTGAAGCAGATAAGAAATCTAGCATGGCTGGTTCACATACAGTAAGATATACCATTGCAGAGGTCAGGCCCCTACTTAAATTCCATTGAAGCCCTATTTTGAGGGTTAAGTGGCTCTGAAGAGATTCGTAGCCCTCTGCTGATCCTCTGTCAGAAGTGAGTTTTATTCATGGTACATTTTATTTGCCATTCCATTAAAGCTGCTTCAGTTTTATTGTACTACCACATCACAACAAGAAATGAAAGAGCTACTGAGGAATGGGTGTACAGTAGAACCTCAGAGTTACAAACCCCAGAATTACGAATGACTGGTCAACCACACACCTCATTTAGAACTGGAAGTACGCAATCAGGCAGCAGCAGAGACTAAAAATTAAAAAAGCAAATACAGTACTGTACTGTGTTAAACGTAAACTACTAAAAAAAAATAAAGGGAAAGTTAAAAAAAAGATTTGACAGGTAAGGAAACTGTTTCTATGCTTGTTTCGTTTAAATTAAGATGATTAAAGGTAGCATTTTTCTTCTGCATAGTAAAGTTTCAAAGCTGTAGTAAGTCAATGTTCAGTTGTAACCTTTTGAAAGAACAACTATAATGTTTTGTTCATATGAACAACCTCCATTCCTGATGTGTTCGTAACTCTGAGGTTCTACTGTAATTTCACACTGTGGGCCAAATCCTGCTTTCCTTACTAATGTAAAAACTCCCAGATATATTTCAATGGAAGTTTTGCTTTTGTAAGGATGCATGAGCTTTGAAGAATTTGGCCTTTTATATTTGTGAACCTAAAGAAAATGTGTATTGCTAAAAAAGTAGGATTTTTTTTTCATTTTAAATTACTTGGAGTTTTATTGCTTAGAGTTGGAACTACCTCCCCAGAATTTTTGAGTAATGTTCTGCAATAAATACTATATCACAATGGAATTCCTGAGGAATTCTATATAGCAATGCATTGCATGAGTTTATGCTTTAGTGCTAAATGAACTCATCTTAGTATAACATATATATCATTAATTGTACAGCGTTGCCAAATATTCAACAGACACCCTTCCTTCTCATTTTGCAACAAACTGTCCTCTCCTTCCAAAATTATTGTCATGGTGATAAAAAAAAGTTAAGACAGTGTTGGCATAAGTGCCAGAAGATGACACTATGATCATCTCTTCAATTATATGGCTTCTGGAGCTTTATATAAACGTCAAAATATGGAGCCTCAGCCAAAAATACAGAGTTATGATTTCCATTCATTGCACATGCAGAAATCCCATGAGCTCTAGTAAGAATCTGATGTTGTGAGTGATGGGAGAACTTCAAAAGGTTCAGCAGTTCAATTCAGATAAGCATCCAAAAGTTACATGATTACTGAAGCAAATGCAAGACCAGACATTCTTCTTCTACTTCTAACACTCCTGGGTTTCAACCGTGTTAGAAATGCTTCACGAACAAGCTTTCTAAAGATATTTCAATATTTTTGCTTCCATTTCTGGCCAGAACCAAGACTAGAGAGGTGTGTACAAATAAGCAAAACTCAGAGGGTGTTTGAGTTTGGATTGGTTTGAGCTTTGTATGATTATCCAGGTCAATTCTGATTTTCCCTGGCCCAGATTAATATCCTCTAGATATTGCCTTAACCAATATCTTTTTTTCTCTAGTATCCAAACAGGAAACAAAAGTAGCATATTGATTGCATCCTGATTATTTTTGAGTCAGGAAGAAATTCTTCCCCTCCTCTGAGGGATATTTGCAAGGGTCTTGGAATGGGGTGGGGAAGTGTGATTTATCTAGAATGTTGGGCAGGGATGATCTATTACATTCACGTGAGTACATTTCACATTATTTTCACATAAGATTTGAGGACTTCAGCAACACAAGCCGAGGTTATGGGCCTATTACAGGAATGGTGGGTGAGATCCTGTGGCCTGCAATGTGCAGGAGGTCAGACAAGAGGATCCTGATGGTCCTTCTGCCCTTAAAGTCTTATGAGTCTATAATCAATGTCCTGTGTTCAATGCAAAGCATGGGGATTGGTGGACCTTGGTCTTCCCATTTTTTCCCTATATTTCTGATTGCAAAATATAAGCTGGAACTGATTTTATCTTACATACAAATGCAACCAGCCCATCCATTTGACCATAAGGCAAAGTATTAGGTCTGGAATAGTAACTAATTCTGAACCAGTTGCTGTCTGGTTTATTGAATAAGAACATACCATCACCATCAATATCCACAGCACATGAGTCACCCTCTCCATTATTATCCGTGTCAATCTGAGCAGGGTTGTGCACATACGGGCAATTATCACAGCGGTCACCAACTTCATCCTTGTCATAATCAAACTGACGGGGGTTGAACAGAAGAGGACAATTGTCCTAGCGAGCAGAAGCAAAGGATTTAAGAATATAAATCACAGCTTGGCCTGAGACATTATTTCATGTATCAAGAAGTATTTCCCCACCCTCCTGTCCCTCGTATTCCACTTAGGCAGAAATAAAAGTGAAAATGAAACTAAGACATATAAATTGATGTACAAGTGTACCTTTCACTGATGAGCTTAGCCCTTTCCCTTGTGTTGTTATTTACACCTCTATGAAGCAGGTGCAAAATACTAAGGCAGATTGGTAGGCATATTACACCCATTTTATACAAATGTAAATGACTATCTAATGTGCAAGGCAGTGGAGGATCAGGCCCAACGTACATGTGTAGAGAGGAGACTAGATCTCACAGAACCTTAAGAGAAGTCATTGGAGAATATTTTGCACAATTTTGTTGTTGAGCAAGCATTTTCCATGAAGACAAATTACTGTCTTAATGCAACAGCCAGACTTCACTATTCTGGATGTTCGAGGAAAAGATATAAAGGAAAGGCAAAATATGTCCTAGTTTATCAAATACTGCCATAGGGTAACAAAAAAATAAATGTGCCTGACAGAGAGACGAATACTCACTTCAGTGTCACCTAACTGGACAATGTAACTGATGGCAATAATTTCTGTAACTGCACATGCAAAATAAATGTTATTGATCAAATGCTTGTTAAACTTTTTTTTTAAAGTTTCCAAATACAGATCCAGAACATGAAGGCACACAGCAAACTATACCTCATTTTCCCCTTTGGTTGTTACGTTCTCCCCAGTGCAGACAGAGCAATCAAATGTCATTTTTGATTTAAACCAGAGGACCAGCTTCTGCTCTAGTCAATATACCAAAACCCTAAGATTATGCCACAGAGCACTCAGCACAGCACAGGATAGGGTGAAGGCTTAAATGGGGCATTAGGTCCTCTTTGCCCTCCTGCAATCCTACTCTGCTCTGCACCAGGCTGTACCCCCCCCCCCAAGGATAATTGAGAGAAGACAGGACAGTTCAAAGCTGCCCTAATGCAACTGAAGATCTGATCCACACAGTCCTTAATTATTTCTTGTAAGGGAGTGTTATGGGGTGCACTCACCCCACACTGGACAGGGAAGGGTTAACTCCTGACTGTGGGCTGAGAAGCCATACCCCCATGTCCCAACTGGGCGTGCTTGAAGTGTAGCACCCCATTATAAGAGGAAGCAGCCCAGCTCAGTCTGGGCTAGCCGCCAGAGAGGAAGGATGCATGCTGCAGGCTCCAGCCCAGGAGCTGCTAGAGCCTCAGACTGTGGGAGCCGGAGACATTGAGTCTCAGGCAGACGCCCAGGCCAGGACTGCAGGAGTCACAGTAGGAACTGCCTGAAAGAGGGTTCCAAAGAGGATGGATCTAGACTGTTCTCAGTGGTAGCAGATGACAGAACAAGGAGTAATGGTCTCAAGTTGCAGTGGGGGAGGTTTAGGTTGGGTATTAGGAAAAACTTTTTCACTAGGAGTGTGGTGAAACACTGGAATGCGTTACCTAGGGAGGTGGTGGAATCTCCTTCCTTAAAAGTTTTTAAGGTCATGCTTGACAAAGCCCTGGCTGGGATGATTTAGTTGGGGATTGGTCCTGCTTTGAGCAGGGGGTTGGACTAGATGACCTCCTGAGGTCCCTTCCAACCCTGATATTCTATGATTCTAAGTAGCCCAGGGAGGGACTAGTCATTGTCCCTAAAGCAGTCAGCATGTTTTGGGTGGATCCCTGCTGACTAAGTGGCAAGCTTATACCTCACTACCAGGGCCTTGGGCTGAGACCCGGTGGAGCCACTACCATGGCCGCTACCCCCCTGGGCCCAACCCTATTGACTCTGGCCTCTAGGTCTCACTTCCCCGAGGTTCAGGGTGTTACTAGGGACTCTGGCCACTAGGCATCACTGCCCTGGGAGCCAGGGTATTGCTAGGGACTCTGGCAACTAGGTCTTACAGCCCAGGTAGTCAGGGGACTGCTGTAGACCCTGACTCCTATGCTACACAGCCCTACAGCAGAGAGCCAATTGGTAGACTTAAACTCTGAGGCCTAGAGGCAGAAGGCGGCTTGAGAGAGAGTGTGCACCCCGCTCTGGACAGGGACCGCCCTCCCCCCATCCCATCATATGCATTAAAATGATAAAAGACTTTTTTTAAAAAAAAAATCAAACATTAAATAAAATCTCATACTTTGTCATCCTCTACCCCATCATTGTCATCATCTTCATCACAGGCATCACCTTTGCCATCCTTATCAAAGTCTTCCTGTCCAGAATTAGGCAGATGGGGGCAGTTATCCTGTCCAGAAAAATCAGTACATTATTTTTATGTTATGTCACAGGCTCGTAACATAGGCTTGAAGATTATATAGCCCACAAGAGGCTATAAAACACATAGCTGAGGAAATCTGTCACAAGTACGTTTTAAAGACTTTGTGTTTGTTTGTTGCCAAAAATATTAGTTCATCCAGTTTTCATGCTGTAAAATAAATTAAATGAAGTTGCAAATCACATTCCCCAACTTCCTTCTGTTAAAAGGAATGTTTGGAGTGTATGTTAACTGAGAGCATCTGATAGGGAAAACACACACACACACACACACAGTGTCAGCTCCTTATAGGCAGCTCATGAAGGAACTTTGAAGATTGCAATGTAACGTGGCTGGCTTTGGCTGCCTTTAACCAGAAGAATGAAGATGAAAGCTAAAAGGATGATCTTCAGATGTAATCTGTCATACGGAAAGTTAATGCAACAAAGACATAGACACGGGGTTGTAGTTTTGAGACATGTGTGTCCTTTTGCACTGTTAGATTTCCAAGACTTTTGAAAATAAAAGACAAATGTATCCTTTTTTATTTCTCATTGAAGGTCAGAACTGAGGAAAGGGTGATTATTCCAAGTGAACAGTTTTCTGGATTGGGGGAAAAAATAAGTATAGATTTTCAAAAACCGCGGTTCAAGAAAGCAATTAATCTGATTAACATATGGAGGCAAATTCTGCTCTCATTTACACTCATAGAATCCTATTTAATTCAGGGAGGTTGCATGGATGTACCCCAGTGGCATCACAATGGTGCAAAAAAGAGTAGGTCCTTCAGTCGCCAAATCCTGCTATCTCTTACAATAATTACGTGGGCTTTCTAAATTGGAAATATAAATATAAAAATAAAAAAGTGAAACAATGATCAAACATTTTAACTGCTATTTTTAGTGATGGAGAATCCACCATGATCCTTGGTAAATTGTTCCAACGGTTAATTACTCTCACTGTTACAAATTTATGCCTTACCTTGGGTCATCATTCTGCCTTGGGATAAAGAATGGGTGAAAATGTAAAAAGCCACTCGAACCATTGTCTATTTCCTATCCCAAAACATTTTCTGGGGTTATAAATTGTTCTCATTGCTGGTTTTCACTTATTTTCACCTTTCCACTTCTGCTAGAAACCAAAACTGGACATGCTAAAGCACTGCAGAAATATTGTTCTTATAGCACATATATTTGTGTCCAGGATCAGCAAAGAAAATGTTGAACTCTCTGGGAAAGATCTATTCTCATGAGGTTTCCAGCCCAAATCTAGATAAGCTGAGGAAAAAGCATTATAGTTTTTGGATGATTATCAACATCAAAATGAACCTCCAAACTTTTAGGACTCCTTTTTTTGTATATACAGGTGCTCCCGAATGATTGACCCAATCTTAGCCTCCAAAGTATCATATTTATGCTAATGTTTCATTTTTCAGTACAGGAATTCTGGAGGAAAAAAATGTCTATACATGAAAACTTTGAGAGAATCAGAAGTACATTTAAATTCAAAATATTAATTTTATTTAGACAATAAGTTATTTTTCAATCACTTTCACAGGTTAGGAAAAGGATATATATATATTTTTTAGAAAATTGCTAAACTAGAATAATTTCTAATGAGTGCTACTGCCTGAGAATATTTTCTGTGTTTTAACTAGACCTTTTTTAATCAAACATTTGTTTCTATAAAATTAATGTATGTCTTACAGAAAGACAAGACTGAACCTTTGGGAACAGTCTCCTCTAAATGTGTTCAACATGTTATGTTCTTAATGAAAGCAGATCTTTTGTGTTGCATCTTGAGTCAACATGTTGCATGTCCTGATGACAGGCGCCAAAAAGAATATATGAACTGCAAAAGCTGAGTTGGCCAGATCTACAATGAGCTGACAGCAGGCAGCGTGAGAAAGTTCAGCATCTGAGACTAGTGTTCAGCAAGGGTCTATCTAATACACCCTTTCTGTTTATAAGGCTTTGGCCCAAATTCATTCCTGGTGTAATGCCATTGACTTCAATTGACTTTTTGCCCCATTTAACACTCTTAGCTCAAACACTGTTAGTCTCTGTGTAAAGTTACTCATTTGTTTACCCATTATGCTAGTTCAGAACTTGACAAGGTTCTTTTGGTTTTGTTGCCACTGTCAGAGTGCTAGAAGAGGATGCCATCATACAAGACAGGTTGGTTGCATTCTCAAGTACATTAAGGACCTATGTTTTTTTAATTTGGGGCAGGAACAGAAATCTAAGAAGGTCACGCTTAGAACTGAAAAAGAGCAATTAAAAGAAAACAGTGCCATCTGTAGGCCTATGCAGCCAATGTCCTTGCATGAAGACTAACTCAGCAAAGTGCTTAAGCACGTGCCTAACTGTAAGCATGTCAATAGTGCAGTGATTTCAGTGGGACTGCTCAAGTGCTTAAAGTTGAGTACATGCTTAAGGACCTTCCAGAGCTGAGGCCAAGTTCACCCATGGCCCCAGACACACCTATCCTAACCATCATCTACCCTTTCTCTACTATCTCAGCAGCCCTGCTCCATCTGCCCTTCAGTCGGCAATACTAGAGCATTGTAATCCTATTGTCTGTTTTGTTGTTGAGTGAGGTGTGCCAGATCACAAGTGGGGATGGAGTTGCATGGGGCTGCACACTTCTGGCATAACCACCCACAGAATCTGCATTCTGGTGTAGAACATTATTAATATTTGGCTACCAGTACACAAGCTCCTACTGAATTGTGGTGACTGCATGGTTTCAGTCTTCTTAGATAACTCTTTAGAGAAGAGATTTTCATGCAAGTAATGCTTGAGTGATTGTCAAATGATGGTCCATAGAACTCTTTCTAGTGGTCCCCAGAAGACCTCCCAGAACAGAAAAAGAATTCTGCTACAAAGGGGAGGGGACTGACAGTTTGGGAGAAGCAGTGATCCAGGAGTGATCCCTCTTTTTCCTATGAAGTGTTTTACAGAATAGGATCATTGTGTGCCAGGGAAACACAGCATTCCATTAAGGGGTAAGTGAATATACATTCTATACTATCTCATAGAAAGACTGGATACCTTAACAGTTTAAGTCTGCATAGAAACCATCACCAGTTTTATAATGAAAAGTAGTATCCTTAGCTATTAAAAAAAAGAAAATTGGTTGCAACATAATGACTTTTTATTGCCACTTCTTGCTTACCTTCATGCAATGGTAAGTAGCATTGGCAGCACAGACCAGGTTGCTATTGGGCCAACCATCCAGGTCAGAATCTTCACCACAGATGCGTCCATCACCAGCATATCCTGTTCTACATTCACACTTGTACATAGGGTCACTGAAATGGCCGAGGTAGATGCACTCTGCAGATTTGTGGCAGCTGTGTGTCATATCTAGGCATGGATTTTCAGGTTCACACACCTACAAGAACAGATCGTCCTCATTCAAACTTAATGACATCAGTAGGAGCTTCTGGGTCCTCAGCACATTTCCAAACCCAGGCCAGATATTTAGATGTCTCAAGTTAGGCACTTTTTAAAAAAAAGTTGGTCTAAGCCACACTTTTTTTTTTTTGGTCATTTAAAAAAAAGCATAAAGCTCACAGGTAAAAATGGACATTACTCAATAAATAAATTGAAACAATTTGTTTGTGGTTTTTTGGAATTACATCTGCATTCCCCTAGGAGCCATTAATTCTCATCATGGACAGGAAAGACTGCACACGGCCATTTCCTTTCGAGTACTGGTCGTCAGGATATAATGGTCTAAGTCTACCAGATGGTGCATAGTCATTTTTTTCTTAAACCAGAGAGACAAACAAATTGATTTTAATATCCTGTCAGCAAATGCGCTGTCACTTTCCTCTTTTCTCTTTTGTTTTTCCTGGTAAGGTTTGAGTGGCTTAATTTTAACAGGGTGTTGTACATTTAGACTTCGCATGTTGGGCTAACTACAGCATGGCCCAAAAAGAAGAGACTGATGAAGTCTCATGGCAGCTGTTTTTAAGAAGTTGCCTTAATTTTCTATGAGATAACATTCCTCTGTGTCATTTCCTCTCCTTTCCCCCACCCCTCCCCACACACATACATCTTGACCTACTGATATTTAGAAAGTGAGATCTTCAGACAGATGTTTGATGACTTACTTTGGTGCATTTATCAAGATAATCATCCTAGCTCTCCACTGCATTGAATCTTATGTAGTCTTTTACACCTGTGAAAAGGGATTGTAAACTCTGGCTGTAAAAGGCTACCATTCTGGCCTTGTAGCATTTTACACTCATTTTCGCAGGTAGAAATGACTACACAAGGTGACGAGCAGTGGATAATCAGGCCCAATGCATCATCGTATTAATAGAAAAGTTGCATCCACATTCAGGACCATATTTTTAAAGGGATTTTAGGCACCCACGGAACAGATAGATGCCTAGTGTGATTTTTCAAAAGCAACTTAGCACCTAACTCCCATTGATTTCAACGAGAGTTAGCCACCTACGAGCTTGTGAAAATCCCACTTGGTGTCCATCTATATCTGTAGCTGCTTAAATACATTTGAAAATCTGGCACTTAGCTATTTGAGGCTATATTTGTTTGTTGCCCAAATCTATTAAATATTCTTTCACAATTTCTTTTTTATGGAGAATGCTTAGATAGGTTTCAGTTTCCATCACATTCCTAACCATTGACCTCTCTTCAACATCACTTACTTGCTTTTCTGTCTTGGCAGCCTCCAGGCCCACCCCAAAAGGCTGATTTCCTTTGTAGCGTGGTGGGCAGGGCAGGCAGTGGAACCCTGGATTTGCGTTCACACAGCGATGTACCTGATTCACCTTAAAACAAACATCTGGCACAGCTATACACTATGGAGAAACAAAGAAGCAAAACGAAAGAACCAAGTTAGCCTGTTGTATAATCACCATACAATCTTTATAAATAGCCTCAAGGAAATGTTTCATGTTGATTGACAACTGAAACAACGCATACCTCATCAAGATCCTCACACACTGTTCCATTTCCAAGGTACCCAGCTGGACATGGGCCACATGACCAAGATCCATCAGGGTAACTGTTGCATTCTGCTCCAGGAAAGCAAGGATTTGACAAACACCCATCTGTCAAAACACAAGCAAAAATATAAATAAGGTTAGTAGTGCAGAAAGTAAAGAACCATAACCCTTATTAAAGAAAAAAATTCTCCATTCATTGAAATAGATCTAGATAAAAGATCTAGAATGGAATGCTGACAATTAAAAATATTTGAATTTTCAACTATATATGAAAGCATTTCCCTTTTGGTTCGTGGATTGCTACAAACAGTTGACTATATCAATAATACACTGAGACCCTGATGCAGGAAAGCTTCTTATTCCGAATAACACTTAACATTCAGCACATGCAAAAAGTTTCACTGAAGTGAATTAGACATAAGCATTTATGTAAGTGCTTTTCTGAAACAGGGACTGAATTAGTGTATTTCATACATGTAGACTCTCTAGTATCAATTAGTGTTCCTATCCATGTGACAGGAGGTAAATAACTAGCAATAACAAAGTTTGCAAGCTACATAGCTCACTGCTGGTCACTCAGTGCATACGCACCAATTGGGCAATCATTCTTGTTGCATATATCATGTTGCTTGACATCTCCCACACATTTCTTTCCTCCATATTGTGGCTCTGGGCTGTTACAGAGACGAGACCTCTCATGGATCCCTCCTCCACAGGTGACAGAGCATGCGGACCATGGAGACCAGGGACCCCATCTGCCATTAACTGAAACATGCAGGACAAAGGGCAAAATTAGTATGAGCAACATACTGTAGACAACATTCAATAACGCCTCCTTCAGATCTCTGACTATAAACAGTTTGTAAATTTACCCAGAGGAAGAAATGAAACTGGACAACTGAAAACTGAGGTTACAATATTTCCAGAAAAATACATGGATTTTTCAGCCATTTTAGTCATTGTTGACAACTCATAACAGCATGCAATGCCTTTTCATATGGTATATTTCCAATTAAAGTGATCAGAAGCAGTTTAGGTTGGCTGATGCATCTGGATTTTCAAAGTTCACTGATGAGATTGTTATTAAAACAACTCCTATTATGGAAACATGGCACTGGAGAACACCAAGCATATGACCTGCATGCCAACTCTGAGCTCTGTGACTTCTTCCATGATAAAGGTGACCTGAGAAGTCATTTTGTTAGTAGCCAATTCTGAACCAGCTGTTTCTAATCAGAATTTACAGCTGCAAAAACCCTCAGCTTCCACTTGGTGCTGAGAATCTTTTGTTTACATTTGGTGATGAAGATCCAGCTCAGTGCAATTAACTGCATTTTGGGATCTCCTTCTATAGATAGCAAATGACCTCAATTTTTTACATTCAAATCCCTTCTTAAGAAAACTACTTCTATCAAAACCTGAAAGTAAGTCTGCTAACTTACATGACATGTTTACAATAAAGTGACATATACACCACCTGCAGATTTCCCTCTCGTTTCGTATTCCAAACTGCACCACCTAGCTAAATCAGGCTATAATGGCCTGATTTTGATTTCATGCACCTTTTATGCTAGTACAACTTTGCTGATTTCAGTATAGTTATTCCAGAATTACGTTAGTATAAGAACAGAATCAGGACCTAACTTCCCAGAATAGAGACTGTGTGTTCCCATATGCTTTGTAGAGCACCAAGCACCCTGATGGCTCTCAATAAATAAAAAACACCTGGCACTTATAGTAATTTGGCCTCACAGGGAGAGAAGAGTAAATTCTTTTTGCCTGTTTTTTAATCCACGCAAATATACAGTGGATTCAGAAGTTCAACTTTCACTTAAACATACTTGGGTTCACATTCCATGATAGACTGGAGAGACTGTGAACAGAGAGAGAGAGAAAAAAAACTGTAAAAAATAGGATGAAATTGAGCAGGAAGTGGGCAGAATGAAAAACAAATCTAAACTGACTCTGAGAAGAGAAAGCAATGGAGGAGAAAGAATTTTTTTTTAAATATAAATTATGTGTGTATTCTATATATAGGGCATATAATTATGCCAGCTTTAGGGGGATTCTACTTCCATTCCTAATACATAGCACAGGTTTCCCTTTAGATAGAAAACATATTTATCTGTTTGTTATTGTACATTTGAATTATCCTTGGAAAATATGTCTTTAAATTACAGGAAGGAAAGATTCCCAAACTCTAATTTTTTAAACCCAAACAACAATTAAAGAAGCTTGGAAAGCCTCAGGCTACACCATTGTCATCCATCTCTTCTTAAAACACCCCTGTGAGCTAAGTAAGCATGATAATAAGTAAACCAAGGCACCGAGAGGCAATGTGACTTGCAAAAGGTTACACAGTGAGTCAGTGGCAAGGGCACAAGTAGAACCCTGGATGTCCGATTTCAATGCCCCTGATCAACCCACAAGACCACACTGATTCTGAACTTTATTTTCTGTATTCAGTGCCACAGTCCCAAAAATCAAAGCAAAGGAACAGAGCCAAGTGACCACATACCATAGGCTTATACTAGTCCATCTCCAAGCTACATGTTAGATCCTGTATCATTATCATTATCATTTAGAGCAGCGATTCTCAGCTAGGGGTCCAGGGCCCCCTGGGGAGCTGTGAGCAGGTTTCAGGGGGCTACCAAGCAGGGCCAACATTAGACTCACTGGAGCCCAGGGTAGAAAGCCAAAGCCCCACTGCATGGGGCTGAAGCCCGAGGCCCTGAGCTCCACCATGTGGGGCTCAAGCCGAAGCCTGAACAATGTACTTCATGTGGGCCCCTATGGCATGGGGCCCCAGCCTGCCTTCTACCCCCTAACACCAGCCCTGGTTTTATATGCAGAAAAACAGTTGTTGTGGCACAGGTGGGCCATGGCGTTTTTATAGCATGTTGGGAGGCTTCAGAAAGAAAAAGGTTAAGAACCCCTGATTCAGAGCCTGCCTTCTTGGAAGACACAATGTAGTTCTATTTGACTTTCTATTTGGGTTTAAGCCCTCAAACTTACCTGGACATGGGACTCCTTCACATTCTTTTGTTTCACGGCCACTTCCTTTACAAATTTTCCCACCCATCTGTGGGATGGGGGAATTGCAGAGACGGATGCGAGTGATGTTGCCTATTCCACAGGTCACAGAACAGGAAGACCAAGGAGACCAGTGACTCCAGCCACCATCTTGACGTACTGACAGAGAAAAAAAAACCCCACACAACATAAGAAAGTGCTTGTCCCATCTGGGGGCATAATAGCAATTCACTTATGAACCTAGCCCTGCAACAGAGCTTTCCCCATTTTATAATAGGTGTCCCACCCTTTATTACTATCTATTACAAAAGCCAGCATTTGGGTTCAGACATCAGAGACTATCTTACTTATGAAACACAACCATCAACACAGGACTGAAGGGGATGTTAGAGTAGCTCAGTTCAGAGGACAGATATTTTAAAAATAAATGTGTTGTAAGAACATAAGAAAATACTTGTCTTAAACAGGTTTCAGAGTAGCAGCCATGTTAGTCTGTATTCGCAAAAAGAAAAGGAGTACTTGTGGCACCTCAGAGACTAACCAATTTATTTGAGCATAAGCTTTCGTGTGCTACAGCATCCGATGAAGTGAGCTGTAGCTCACGAAAGCTTATGCTCAAATAAATTGGTTAGTCTCTAAGGTGCCACTAGTACTCCTTTTCTTCTTGTCTTAAACAGTTGTTCAGGGTCATTGAAAGTGATCATGACCAGTGTTCCTTTCGTCTAACTTGTAGGTACAATAAATATAAGATTACTTAGTATTTTACAAAAGTTTTCTATAACCACTTAATGCGGGTATTTTTCCCCCATGTCCTAAACACTTCTGTGCTTAAGGACTGTGCTGAGAATCATGGCTCAATGACACACAAGCAATTAGCTGCCCCTGCACAGAAGCCAGTACTGTATATATGCTGACTCAAGGCAAGAGGCCCTACTTGTTAGATCTTTCCTTTCACAGAGCAAAAACTAGACTGGCCAATACACATGCATATTAGATTGACAATAAAGGTGAGGAATATTAGATGGGGGAGTAAAGGAACAAAAATATGTCTTAATAACTAGTTTACTAATGCATAAATTAGTATTAAAATATATACAGTTCTGACTATCAAAGCGTGCGTACGAAATCCAGGCTAGGATTCTTTTTGCTACTTGGTTAGAAAGGGAGAAGCAGAGGGAACATTTATTAGGAGAGAGAGATGTCAGCACTCACTGCGATTGTCACATTTGCCAAGGCTACACGTTCTTGTCTGGATGGACGGGCCTACACAAGTGTTGCTAGTGACATCACATGACCGTCCTCTCTGCTGTGTTCCAGAGCCACATGTCACTGAGCACTCTGTCCACTCAGACCATGGAGACCAACCATCTTCACTGTCTTTGGCTGCAGAAGAAGCAAAAACTGCTTAACACTGTGAATTCCTTTTGTCATAAGATTTTTGTTCTCACATGTCTTTCTGTTAGAACTTATTCTTTGCTATTTAGATCTCTGGTTCTGATTTTTATTTTAATCTATCACAGAAAAGTTAGAGAACTTTATTTAAAAAGAAAACATAGTTCGAGATTGGCCCAACTCAGATCCCTGGACCTGAACACCCTCACATTTTGTAAATTTAGATCTGGGACTGATCTCTGTAATGGGCTGACCCTATCTCTGGTTCCAGACATCCACATACTTTGGGACCCAGATCCAAAAGGTGAGGCTTGGACCCATCTCTGAACACAACATAACCATAAATGTGACTGAGAGCACAATGAAAACATGTGCTGTATATGATCTGAATAGGCAAGAAACCTGAATACGATGCAATAAATATTATACTTCAGAAAACTGAAACTATTAAAAATGTATTGCAATTTTTTTCTGCAATAGATCTGTCCAGCCCAGAGCAAGATATATTTCCAGAACTATTCTCACTACAAAGGCAAGCCACAAACTGCAGTGCTATCTTGGAAGAATCCTTTTGTTATTCTGTTCCATAAGTAAAATATCGTAAGATTCAAAACAACTGAAAGAGAAAAGAAATTTGTGAGACTTTTTGCCTTTCCAACAATTATTATACTGAAACACAGGAAATTCCCATTAGTCTCTAGAATCTAAACACATTGTATAGGGGAATGGCAGGCGCACTAATCCACTCTCACTGCAGTCTACTTTAACCAGTTAGTAAGAAAAAGAAAAGAAAAGCATACGCAATGAGAAATCGGAATGTGCAGCCAGGGAAAATGCAGTTAAACCTCATTATCCTGATGCTTAAATAATGATTTTTCTTTGGCTGAGCTGGTTTTTAACTCTTCCTTTACCACCCCTTAAATGAAAAGGTTTTTTAAAACTGCCAAACAGGTGGATTTTCCTTTTGTTAAGTACTTACAATGAAAGCAGACAGGACAGCATTCACCTTCAATAAATGATGGATTGGCACAAAACACTGCTGGGCAGGTGATTTGATGGCATACGGTTTTAGAATTCTACAGACAAGGAAACCAATATATTGGCTTGTGTTTATGTTCAAATACAGGCAAATCTGTATATCCAGAGAAAATTCTACCCCATACATTGAAGAGATTTTGCTTGTCATAATTTTAAAAAACAAAAATATTTTGTTGAATGGAAATATTTTTAAACCAAGCAAGTTACCAGTATAAGTCTGCAGTATTGTCCATTAGAAACTGAGGTCCTAATCCAAAACCCATTGAAGACAATGAGGAGTCTGTTTATTGATTTCAGTGAGATTTCAATCAAGCCCTGAATAAACGTTGAATGCTGGAACAGGACTGAGTAGCCAAGCTGGATTCAGTCCACTGTCCATTTTGGAAATAGGGGGACTCCTTCTATAGTCTTACCTCGCAGGTACATTTGGTACAGCTATCCACAACCCAGTTTTCATTATCTGAAAAGGCACGGCCATCCTGCCAGCAGACCGACTGGTTCTTTAGAGTTTTGTTAGGCCCAATCAATTCCCACATAATTTGGTTCTCCTCAGACTGAAAGATTAAACAAATAAATTAATTAAATAACTAAAGTGCCTTAAATCAAAAAACAGAGAAATTGTTGCTCAGTCACCTGACTTTAATTTTATGATTGAAAACTTACACTTTTATGCATTCATGTACATTAGCCAAGAAGAAAAACACAAGTCAGTTACTGTACCACAGGGTGCAATTCTTTCAGCTAACATTATGATCATGATTACCTAGTGCTCAATAAAATCTACTGTAAAAGGTGGGTTTTTTTTCCAATGTAATTCATCATCTTCAGAAGGGAAAATAATTCTAATCTCATGACATGCAGTAAATTATTAAAACTTTGTTTAGAAAGTATGAACATGATTCATAACTAAGACTTTAAGTAACTACACACTTCATCATGCTGCAGTGGTGAAAGAAAAAGATAAAACTCACATGCATTCATTTGCCCCTTAGCTATAATATGTGGATATCATAAAGATAAACATATAAATTATGTACACACATGCATAGATATGGACATACAGAGATATGGATATATAGTACACATATGGCCAAATTTGACTCGTGATGTTGGGTGCTTTGAATTTTGATTACCAGATCTGAAATATTTTTAAAAGGCCTGATTTTCAGAAAATGTTGTTCTAAGCCTGCCCTGTGAAAATCAAGCCTAAGTAAAGTGTCATAGTCAGGCACGCAAAATCATTTGTAGTCACTTTTGAAAATGTAGGATCCCCCTCCCCCAACATCTTTATAGATGTTTAAGCAAAGTGACAGAGGGCGACAGAGAAGACACATTCTATAATTGACGTTTTGTATCTTTTGATTCTTAAGTCCAGAGATACCTACCACTTTTTGAAGATTATCAACTAAATTGTTAACAACAATACGCAACCCAGTGAGCTCAGTGAACATAGTTCCCAGCTCTTCACAGGAGCGGTCACAGAACTCCATCTTCTTCTCTGTCTTTTCACCAACATACTCCGTGGTGACAGCAGGGTTAAGGTGAAGGATTTCAGTACTCTCATTGATAGTGTTCACTTCAGCTGGTAGAGAGAGAGGGGAAAAACAGTTGTGACTACAACAGACTTCTGCTGATTATAGCTTACAGCTGGAATTATAGACTGGCACCTGTAGGTAGGGTTTAACTGCAGCTCTTTTGGAACAGCTTCATGCTAAATTATACCCAAGAATAAAAGAGTGGGGTTGAATGTCAGCTGCTTCCAATTACAGACTTCCCTTTCAAAATTATGAGCCCAGCTCCGTCTCACAAAGTCATAATTTCAAGGCACTATTGGCAATGTAAAACACTCATTTATGAAGAAAAGATAATAAAAATATAGACCGTCATAAAAACATACACATTAAGTCCTCTCAAGGCCATGAAAAGTTTTGCATTTTTCATGAGGCGATAAGGACTATCCTTTTCGTTTGGGTCACAGAGACAGGACTCTTCTGCTAATGAGGCCACCACTAAGAGGCCAAGGTGGCTTTTAAGCCACTTCTGTGCTCCCCCAACTTCTTGGCCTTCTTCAGCCCCATGCACATCTCATAGCAGCCTTGTGGCTTGTCTAAATTTAACCGGCTGGTAACAGCTTCTTCGGGTATGTGTACACTGAACCTAAACACCCACAGCTTGCTGGTGTCAGCTGACTTGGGCTCACAGGGTTCAGGCTACGGGGATGTTTAATTGCAGTGTAGACTGTCAGGACCAGGCTAGAACCTGATCTCTGGGATCTGGGATCCCCCCCCCACACACACACACACCAAAAAACACTGTGGTCCAGTCAACCCTCTCTCCCCATTGGTACAACCCTCTACATCCAGAGAAGTAGTATAGCCGGCTGTACTGACCAGGATTTCGTCCCAGCTCCAACGCCTAGGAAATACTGCTAGGATAACTTGGATAGTTTCTCTGCTTGGATAACTTTTCCAGCCCCTTTGTGGCACCAGACCTCTAGTTATCTACTGAATAGCAATAGAATGGTCAGTGTTTCTCCCACACTGACCTGCCAATGTTCTTCAGTAACCACCTGGAAGGACATTACTTAAGGCTGAAAAAGTAATTTAATCTTTAAAGATTATGGGTTCTCTGGTGAGACTGAAAACAAAGATGGAAATTGTGATGTTTGACTATCCACTGGAAGTAAATTCAGAACAACAACAATCCCACAGAGGCAACCAGAGAGCTGTCAGAATACAGCAGCTTTCAGTCACTGTCAGCACGTAGCTGTGTCACCCATCACAAATTCCTTAAACCATGCAGCTCCCTTTGGTACAGTGCTGATTAAATGGGCTACCTCTAGCCCAAGACAGATCTCTTCCAATAAACTCTCTTTTCCATGCTCTGTTCTCCTAGGTCACCAACTAGCTAAGAGAGTCCAGATACAACAACTATCACTGGTGGAATAAGTGGAAGACCAGAGAGTGTTCGCTGCCACCTGATAGTTAATGCCGCAGCTCACATAGTATCTTAGTGGTTTTTTCAGCTTCACCTTATGGCTGGGTGAAACTTTGAATAAACTCCTTTACTACAAAAACTATGGAGAAAAATAATTAAAGCCAAACACTGCTCTGGCTGAAGTTGGAAGTTTTGTCATTCTCTTCAACAGAAACAGGCAAGGACCCTTAGGGCACATCTACACTGCAACTGCGAGCACGTTTCCCAGCACCGGCAGACCAACACTCACTACTAGTCTAGATAGTTCACAGAAAATAGGAGTGTAGCTGGGATAACCTGGGTGGCAGCTTGAGCTACTACAGACCCAGTGAGCATAAGTGGGTTTGTACTCCAGCCGCGAGCCCAGCTGCGCTGCTACTTTTAGTGCACTAGCTAGAGAAGAGCAAGCTCATCCATCTAGCCGAGCCGGGAAGCATGCTCCCGGAGACAGTGTAGATGTACTGTATGGGTCCTTGCCTGTTTCTGTTGAAGAGAATGACAAAACTCTCATTATCTTCAGCTGGAGCAGTATTTGACCCGACTTCTTTTTCTCCTTAGTCTCTGTAATGGCAATCGTTGCAAACAGCTTTGTGTATTTGTGTGACTGAGAGGTTTTGTTTCGCTAGCAAGAAGTTTATTCAAAGTTTCACCCATGAAACCAGGCAAAAACACTAAGACACCAGCTGAGCTGCTACATTTACTAACGGATGGCAGTGAAAACTCTGTTCTTCTACTTATTCCACCAGTGATAGAGTGTCCTGAAGTCTCTTAGCTAGTGTACCATACCCCTGAGTGTGAGGTCTAAGTAACCCAAGGCTTGGTTATTAAACTGCAATGAAAATTATGGCAGAAAGAAAGGAGACAGCTAAATATCATCACTGAAAATCAACAGCGAAAAATGGCTTTTGGCATAATCCTGCAGTCCTTGTGCAAACAAAATTCCCATTTAAGTCCCCTGGAGTTTTGCCAGTGTGAGGACTACAGAATCAGGCCTTTTTTGTTCCCCCCTCTGAGTAAATGAGGGAACAACATGGTCCAATACTGAATGGAACCGAAGGATATCTTCCAGTTACAGTTTACTTCCCAAATTACTGAAGGTGTTAGGGCCAGACTCTTAGATGTTTAAGTGCAGTGCACTTCTAAGGGCAGGGAGAGTATAAGCAGCTTTTGCAACCTTTCTGCCCACTCAAGCCCTAGTGCTGCCTGAGTCTAGTTCAGGGACCAGTGCAATTTATAGAAGTCTCCAGTCTAGTCTAATGCTATGTACACACTGTAGCTTACGTTGCTATAAGTTACGTTGCTCAGGGGTGTGAATAAGCCACCCCCCCGAACGACGTAAGTTACACCAACCTAAGCACCCGTATGGACAGCACTATGTGGCAGGATTGCTCCTCCCGCTGACACTCACGGGAGCTGGAGTAATTAAGTCGACGGAAGAGCTCTCTCCCACCAGCTTAGAACATCTGCCCTAGCAGTGTTACAACGGCGCAGCTGCATCCGTGCAGCTGAGCTGCTGTAAGCTCTGTAGAGTAGCCATAGCCTAAGTTGTAATGGCTGGTGACAGCCCTCATAGGAGCTGTTACATTGACATGGAAACTCTGGAGTGAACTGTAGGCCCAGCTAAGACCAGGCTATAAATTGGCTCCGGGCACTTCAAATGTCCCCGAAGAAGGCAGAGGTTCTACAAAATGCACTCGATGGTGCATTACGTAGGGATAATTGAACAAAGGCTTGGGAAGAGTTCTGAAGTCACAGTTTAAAAGTTCTCCCTGTGCATAGCAAATTGCTGGAAATCAGCATGACAGAAAACAGCAGAAATAATTCTTCCAAACATTTTGTGGCAAGAGGACTATCTTTCTGCCAAAAGATTTCATTTAATGAAACTAGCTTTTTTAACAAACAATAATGATAATAAACGGGGACTAAATCCTTCTCTGCACCACTGAGGTCCTTACTCAGTGTCTATTCGCTCCATAAATAGGTAAAGCTCCTTTTGACTTCAAAGGGAGCTTTGTGTGAGTAACAGCTACAGGATGTGGCCCAATATTGATCTCAGCTATATGGAAAGCTTTACTTCCCTGCCTTTCAGTAAAGATTCATTCACCATATTTAGTGTCAATATAGTACCTCAATCTGGTAAGGTGAACCAGAGCCTAACATAGCTTAGAGAGACTGATTTGAACACTCTGCCCTTCCTTAAATATTCCAAAGGAGAAATGCATCCAGTGATTGCAATATAGCATATGATCACAAATGCATCAGCACCATTCCTCACTCTCAGCTCAATAAAGAGCCACACGAGGTGAAAGGAATTTTAAAAAATGCAGCGAGGAGGCTGATTTTATTCTTGGTTACCTCATGGTTTATGAATACCCTGTGACACAGTCGACTTTGAATTGTTTCCAGTTATCAAATTTTAAAATATTGGTATCTTAGCAACTAGGACAGAAAGAAACTACATATGTGGCACGATGGGCCAGAATCATCTGTGGTGTGACTCCCTTTACCTCAGTTGCCTTTTGATTCCTTGAAATGAATGCCATTTTCTTACCATGAGGAAACATTAGGCTTCTATGATTCGCCAGGTGATACTTTTCAAATCATTAATTTCATACTTGTCAAGTCAATGGAGATTTTTGACTTGACCTGAGCATTTTAAGAACATTATTAAATCTGTAATCTCAACAGAGAGTGCAGTCCTAAACTATGTTAGAAGCATTACATCTACGCCCCTACTCCCCCCTGGCAATCTGTGAAAGAAGACACCTGGGAATTTCTGGGGAGTCAGCTCTACAGGGCTGGCTTCCTGCTCATTTCTTTAGGGCTAGATGACTCGCTTTGGAAGGTAAAGGTGCTGAAACTGCAAATGTTAATATACAGGTAAAACCGTGCATCTTTTCCCAAACACAACTCTCATTCCTCTGACCTGGCCGTGGGTGGGATTTTATTTTATGTATTTATTTACTTTTTTAAACATGCCTCTCCAAATCTCTGGGCACATGTATAAATCATTTTTTAAAATGCACACAATGCACACATTATAGTGAGGCTCCCCCACCCATCAACCCAATAGCTCCCTCCTGGACCACCTCTCTAGTCAGCCTTCCTCTCAGAAAGGGTTTAAAAATATATAGGCCTTGCCCTGTGCCCTGAAAGTCAACAAATGCAGGCCCCTTTCAAAAAAGCAACAGGAGTAATCCCAGAGTTGAGGGCATTTCATTGACAATGCCTGGCCCCCCTCACATTTAAATCTGGAGTCAATTTGCTCAGGCACCTCAGCTCAGCTGTCATGTAATCAGCGAAGGAGAAAGGAAGGGCAGCCTTCTGTTTCACGCATTGTCCTAAAGCTTGCAGGATCCCAGCCCTGCCACAGACTTTCTTGGGAAAATCATTTAATCGATCTGTGACTCAGTTCTCTTCCTGTAAAAGGGAGATAATCACATTCCCTTTCTCCTACCCTTTGTCTGTCTAGTCTATTTAGATGGGGGCATGGATTCTCTCTTCCTATGTGCTTGTACAGAACCTAGCACAATAGAGACCTGAACCGGGTTGGATTCCCTAGATGCCACCATAATACAAATAAATAATAATAAAAGTAGAGGTCTC